ATTGTTTTTTTTTAATTAGTCCATTACAAAAAGCAAATATTTTTTTTTATAGTAGAAGCTGGAAAGGACGTAGGATAGTTTTTATCTCGGAAATCATCCCTTAAGGTAGCGAAAATGGGGATAAAAGTTTGTATGGGGAATCAAACTATCCTATCGCTAATTTCTTAATAAGCACTATAAAAACTCATACAGTATTTTCAAAGATAACCAATAACCAATTTATTTTATTTTTGTATATTAACTCGCCAATAACAAACATGGCTGCTCATAGCGAAGAGGTACTCATTGATCATCTCGAAGGGCGCCTCCTGCAGCACGTGGTCCACGCGCCGCCCTGCGTTCAGCCTCCCGAGAGCATCTGCTGCTAACTGTGGACAGTTAAAATCCCGATCTAGGTAAAAAAAGTATTTTTTTTTTAAATAAATATATTTTTGTTTCGGATTTTTCCGTGAATTTATTTAAATTTTAGTTCCTGTTCCGAATGTTTTACAGCAATCATGGTCACGGGAGAGACTGAAACATCGTGTCGGGAACAAAAGATCTAAATAAATCCGCGAAAAATCCGAAAAAAATATTTCGAATAAAAAAAAAATTTGAAAATATGAAACATTTGCGTAAATACAAGAAAGTATTTTTTTTAAAGTAAACCAACATTGCATATATATATAATTTTTTCATATTTTTTTGATAAATTAAGAAGTGATATTTTCCAACATTATTCTAATTAAGTTTTTTTATTAATTTGATTGATTAAAAATGAAAATATATCTTTTTTATATGTTTTATATAATTTTAATTAATACATAGAAAAAATATATTTTGTAACATTTATTTTTTTTGAAAAAAAAAATGATCGTACCTCATTACTCTGTACGTTCTCTTCTTTACATTCCATTGCCAATTCTTCTTTCTCAATTTCTTCTTCAACTACCTATTTTTGGTACATAAAAAATATTACATATGAAAATGAAATTATTTGTGTATCCTTATTCCTTAATGAATCTGAAATATAGTTTTACAAAAGCATTTTTTTCATATTATACGTTGAATGAGACAATTTTAATGTAATATACATATGTGTCAATTTTATGTTTTAAAATAGATACAAAGGTTTATATTTTTTAAATAATGGTATTTTCGTATGTTTTTTTAATGTATAATAAAATAATATTGGATACGTACTCAAAATAAAAGATTGTTTGGTACAATAAAGTTTCAAAAACTGAAAGTACCTTTTTCTATAGGATTTTAAATTTGGAGACCACGTCTGTTGGGTCAACTAGTAAATTTAATAAAAAAGGCACCCCTAAATAAATCTATCATCCTAAAAATAAAACTGTATTTTAAAGGAAACGACGAGAAAAAAATAAGTAAAAGAGAGAAAAAAAATAAGTAAGAGAGAGGGAGAAAAAAATAAGTAAAAGAGAGGAGGAGAGGGGTAGGGAGGGAAATAAGGAGTTAGGGAGAGAAAGAATAGTAAGAATAAGTATGAGAGAAAAAGGGAAAGAGAAAAAAGAATAAGTATGAGACAGAGAAAGAAATATATGCTTACCTTCTCTAAATGTTGCACAGAGGGTGTTTGTGCTTGCGTCTTCCACATACTGTACCATGTATTTTTAATCGACTCTATCACTTTTTGTTTAATATCAGCACCGACTCGCGCCATCGTGTCTTTGAGCTCTGGTATGAAAAAAATATGTATTAGACATACACATATATGATTAATAAAACAACTACCAATATAAATGCGAAAGTTGGACGTCTGTATGTTTGTCACTCTTTCACGCTGTAACGGCTGAACGGATTTGTATGAAACTTAGTACACAGACAGACATGAATTGGAGTAACTAACATATAGGCTACTGTTAAATATGTAGAGACATAAATAAATAAATATGTTGGTACATTAACACACAGCACCATCTAGTTCCATTTTGTGTTTTTTTGTCAGTGTGTGTTGTTTTGTTAGGGGCGTGTCAGGGTCTGTTTTAAGTATTAAAAGAATTGGGAAAAACCAACAAAACCCGCAGAGAAATCGAAAAGTTCAGAACTGCTCGTTTTGTACCTATTTATATATAATATATAGTCTATCTATTCCACATTAACCATTAAAACGTACTTAGAAAACAGTAGTTTTTAAAATAGAGGAAAAAAATCTACTGTAAAGTACAACAAGTATTGGTGGTTCGAAAAAATAAGCACTAAATAATAAATAACTTACCCAAATGCATGCGTTTTCTCCCTTTATGGTGTGGAATCAAAAACGGTTTGACGTTTCGTAGTTGAGGGTCGATCATGGGCTCGATTCTGTAAAAATAATAATTAGAAAATCTTATGGAGATTAGTAATATTCTATCATTTAAAAATAATAGAAAAAAATGTGTGTGTGTATGTACTGATGTAGGCACGTAAGAAGTTATACTTCTTTGGCGTAACAGAACAAAAATAGCTAAAGATTTCATCCCGTATGTCACAACTCTCTGTTTGTAAAAGGAATGCAGCTAACTTCATCATGTTGCTTTTTAGCTATCGTAGTACGCGCGCATCGTAAAAATATTACTGTCATATTTTTGCCCAAACGTGCGAAAAGAAGTATAACTTCAAGAATATATATAAAATAATTATTTGCTATCTATATATAAATTGATTGCTGTTACAACATTAAATTAACAGTTTTTAAAATACACGACGTTTGTTCATCACAATTATATAAAAATATTATTATTATTATTTTTGTTTTCCTCCTATTGAGTGTCGGTTTAAGAAAAACCGGTGACTAAATGATCCACACGGACCAAAGCCAAGTGTGGATCATGGAAGATTGAGGAAACGATGTTGTTCAGCGGACGTTTGGGATTGGTCTCTTTGTAGAAATTTTCAAACTATTCTACAGGTGTTTAAAATGGCAGCTTTTTGGAGGGTGATTGATGTACGTATATTTTGGTAACCGTAGGGTTTCTAAGGCCTGGTGGAGAATTTTAAGAATTTTTTTCTAACAATAGTGGTGGAGAAGACTATCGGAACTATTGTCATTATTATTACTAATTTTATTGAAAAACAAAAGTATAAAAACTATCCTTATGAAGGATAGATAATATGAAGATGACTTACCTATATGCTATAGGATCGTATGGATGGAAGATATTAAAAAAGTTTTTGCATGTCGGAAGACAAAAATCTTTTCCTAGATTTTCCACACCGCGTATACACTCGAAAATGGCTGGAAAAAAATGAAAAAATAATAATAACTTAAAGATATTATTAACGACTCACCCTCGCTTCGCTCGGGTTCGTCACGAGGTAGTTCTTTAAATTGACATAAAGATTTTATTTATGAACCGATTGAAATAAAACAAACATGTAAATAAAAGTTCAGTAAAGCTTACCAAAACACATTAGTGAAAACTGCATCGTTTCTGAGATTACCGCGCACAAACGCTCAGACAAACAGGCAAAAATTCTAAAAATCATTATTTTGTGTTCTATTGTTTTAATTAAGACCCCCAATAATAGATTTTTCTCAAATATCTTCCATGTAGACAGTGATCAGTTACACTTTTATTATATGTATAGATGTCATATATTCCCGTAAATCTAAGAAAGTATAAAGTTCATAAAAGTTATTTTACATTATTTAATTATTTTAAATTATTATTATTATATTATTTTAATATAAATACTAATGTTAAATTTCATGGCGTATCGTTTAAAGTCACAAAATTTTGTTGTCAGTTTGTGGAAAGTTACCATATAAAAGAACGTGTGCCAGTCGGGAGCACTTTTCCGCATTTCTCCCACACATTTTTCCTGTCTAGACACTTTCGTTAAACGATTGTAAGCATTAGTACACTGTGGTAACACAGGGTAAATTAGGGTAAGGTAAGGTAAAAACTTACCTATAGGGCTTCCCAATGCATATAGGGCGTCAGGAGTGAACCCTAACCGCGGGTACTTGACACTGGGCTGCCCGGTCCCCGCCGCGCCCGTCACATAGCTCTTGTCTGGTGATAGGATGTCTGCAGAGTCCTGTGACATACATACATACATAAATAATTTTAATTATTGTATGTTCATCCGTATTAATATTATAAATGTGAAAGTTTGTGAGTATGGATGTTTGTTACACAATCGCGCCAGAACGGCTGAACGGATCTGGATAAAACTTGACACAGAGATAGACTATAGTCTGGAATAGCACATGGGCTACTTTTTATCCCGGAAAAATGTACGATTCCCGTGGGATAGATTTGTTATTGTTTTCCCAGAGGAAATTTTTAATTTGTTTTCTGTTTCTATACCTGAATATTTAAAATAAAAAATAAAATATATAACAAAAAAAATCAAACTGTCGGACAAACATAAGCTCAATTTCACATTATAGACGTTTTTTTTCTTCATTACATACTCTATTTATTACCATAAACAAAACTTAAAAAAAAACTAACTCACCACAGGTAACTGATGGCACAGCAGGTCATAGAGAATGACGCTGCCCAAAGAGTGACCGCCCAAAGACACGCCCCCTTTGAAGTCGGGATTCCGGGATTTAAACAATTTGTATATCCGGTTGAGTTCACTGCACACTGTGTCTATTATTAGCTGTGGTAAAAAAATGTCATGTTAAAAGTAAGTGTGTGTGTGTGTACTTTTTTTTTAATGTTCTAATGTTTTTTTTACTTTTACTTCTTTTTCTGTATTCTTCTCAGCATACCCTTTCATTTGATTTCCATATCATGTGGGTGCATAAAAAACAGTCCGCCATCTTTGGGTGTCCGCCATATTGGATTTACAATGACGTCACTTTACTTACTGTATTTCGCTCATCAAGTTGTGTACATAGAAATACCGCAATAAATATCTTGAATATAAATAGCACACTATACTAAAGGGAGATTTAACGTCTAACTTTACACTGTAGTCTAAATCCGTCGCATCGTAAGAAAATCCCTCATGGAAGACAAATATACCAACATTTATTTATATTTATATAGATAGATTACCTGACAAAAGACGGGGCTGGTGTAAAACAGCACATCCAGTATAGTGTCGTTGGTGAAACTGCGCAGACGCGGGATGCTGTCCAGAGTCACTGCGGCTAGTCTTTTGTCCACTCCCATCCCTGTGTGCAGGCTCGCGTGCCAGGATATTGGCAATACCTGGATAGATTTATGTTTTTTTATGTATTTAACCGATTTCCAAAAATAAGGAGTCATTTGTAGGTATAAAAATTATGTAAGTCTCTCCAATTATCATGTTTGCTGTAAATCATTCTCAAGATCAGATCAGATTGAGCATCTTCTATTTATATATACCAATTTTATTAAGTTCCGGAAGTTCAGAAAAAAAGAAAATGGCGCAAATCGATAACGCCTTAAAGGATCCATCTCCTTTCTTTGAAAATGCCTATATGTACATATATCGTATATAAATACTCAAGCCAGGCAATATAATATAATTAAATCACATAATACTATTTAAATATTTAAATTAAACAAAATCGCGAGATGTTCTTGTATATATATATATATATACAAGAACATATATATCTAATTAAAAAAAACTCGTCTCACCTCAACTCGTCCAACTAAACCGCTGTCATACGAATTTTTGTAATGAGATTGTATCAATTGAAGACTAGTTGCTCTAAAATCGTCCACTAAAAAAAAAAACATAAATTAATTATTTTTTTAAATAAAAGTAGCCTAAGTTACTCCTTACAACATCAGCTATCTGCCAGTGAAAGCCGTCAAAATCAGTACAGCCGTTTTGAAGATTAACTGGAACAAATAGATTCGACAGACAAAAAAATTCAAAATTGTTTCATTATATACATATACCGTTTCAGTCTGTCTGTCAGTTTGTTTCTGCTAATCTTCGAAACGGCTGGATCGATTTTGACGGAACTTTCACGGGCAGATTATTATTAGTATTTTAGCAAAAGTATCAAGATTCCGCGCAAAAAATTATAACCTATGGAACTTCAAACAAAATCCGCGGAAGTATCCGAGCGAATCAAGTCGCTAGTCTCTTTTAATTGCTAACATTAAAAATGAACTTCTTCAAACAAAATAGAGATATAGATAGATTTAAAAGAACCTACCGAAATAAGAATAATATTTTAGTACATAGAACTATTATTATAAATGCGATTTGTATGAAATTATATACACAAACAGACAACGACTGTAAAAATAATACTTCCTCCACTGGGCATATCAGAATTTAAAAAATAATAATAGGGCGTATTTTTGTATTATAGGGCAATTCACACGCACGTAGTAGATAGACATGGTAGAAGTGAAACTTAATATTATATATTTGTCAGACAATAACAACGGTTACCATGGCAACGAGGCAATGTATTCTATCTCGTTCTTTCGCCGGCTTAATCCTGTATATTTATGTGTTTGTCTCTTTCTCGTGTCGCATTTCCGTTTCATCGAGTTTTAAATCACAACGATTCTAAAGATATATAACTTCAAAAAACGCTCACCAACTTCCTCCACAGGCCGGAAGCGCATATCACAAGCGGACCCGACGCCATGACACAACAGCAGCAAGTGATCTATACTGGACGGTTCCGTGTCCTCTATTTCCGACTCGACGTGACCTCTGCGCACTACGCGTGGGCGCGTTGATTGCTGTAAATATATTTCTTATCATCATTATCATTATCATCATCATCATCATTACCATCATCATTATCATCATCATATTCAGCCTGCTTTCGTCCACAACTCGACATAGGCCTCTCCTATTATTTGGTTTTATATGGTAATAAAATAATGTTTATATTTTTTGAGGTAAAATCATTCATTGCTGTATAAAAAAGAAATATTTTCTAGATTCTTTTTCAAGGAATTTTTACAGATAAAAATTCCAAAATCACCCTTTAATTCAATTTTTATAATGATTTTAGGACAACGATTGGATAACAGCGGTAAAAGATCAGGCGTATGACCGATAGCTTTACGTGCCTACTGAGGATACGTAACCCAATAACCACACTCGGACTGACCCGGGATTCGAACCCACGTCCTCCACATGCTAACCCAGACACACGAGGCAGAAACCATTCCTGTATTTGAATACAAAACATTTCCAAACAAGTATAATACTTTCTTAGATTTACACAAATATTTGGCATTTTAATATAAAACTATCTTTTCGGATTATTCCGCGGATTTATTTTGATTTTTGGTTCTCGACGTTTCGAATGCTTTACAGCAATCATGGTCACTGGAAAGACTGAGGTTTTAGATGTTTCAAACTTGTTAGAGACATTCAACATTGTGGGTAGCAACCCATTTTTACAAATTGATTACAAAATTTCAAAAATTCAAAAATGACACCAAAGTAACAATATTCGATGATTTTAACCCAAAGCATTTTTTTTTGAGTATTATAATAATTAAATATGGCAACATTATTTAACTCTAGCTGTTATTATGAAATTTATTATAATATTTTCTACCATAAGGAAAAATAACCAAAACTAACGATTCGTTCCCTCTGATGTCTATACTCTCCTGCACCATGGACCATAAAGATGAGGTGGTCTATTTTCTTGGGCTGGTCTCCACACACCCGTATGTGAGGGTTACGGTACACTTTTTTGCCGAAGGTAAATAACTGGGTAAGGAAGGTTTGGGTAAGGTAAGGTTAGGTAAAGGTAAATAAGCATTAGGTAATAGGGAATATTGGACTATTTTATTTTAGACAAACTAAAACAAATCTATCCCTCAGGAACCGTATAATTTTCCGGGATAAACAAGTAGCCTATGTGTTATTCCAGACTATAATCTATCTCTGTGCCAAATTTCATCCAGATCCGTTCAGCAGTTCTGGCGTAAAAGAGTAACAAACATCTATACATACTCACAAACTTTCACATTTATAATATTTATATATACCAGATTTAGGATTAAAGCTGGATATTGAATATTTTAACAAAATTAATTGGTTAGGAGAATAAAGTTCAAAATTGTATCTCGCTGAGACGGCTGAGTGGATTTGAATGTTTAATACGACAACACGTTTGGCTCAGTTTGTAGTGACCCTACTTGCTGTGCCAGCGTTCGCGAGTTCGACTCCCGCTGGGGGCATTCATTTGTGTGATGAGCACGAATGTCTGTACTCTTGCCATGTGTGTTTATATTTATAATATGTATGTATTTAAAGTTATATACATATATTTGTAGTGTATCAACTATCTCGTATCCATAACACAGCTACGAGTAGCTTACCATGGAACTAGATGGTGCTGTGTGTTAATGTCCCAACATAATACACAGAGATAGATTGTAACCTGGAGTAACACATAAGCTCTAAAGCATCTAAAGATGCATCCTAACGACTCCAGGATAAGTCGAAATTCATATTATATTTTACATAGTTTCATGATAAATGACCATTTTTATCAATTTAAATGATATTTGATACATATTTGGGTAGACTGGAAGGTATCTCTTATAGAGACAAGTCCACCTTTGCCGACGTCACTTTCTGTCATTTTTTATTTTTTTATTTATTTATGTACCATAAAATATATGTTATACAAAATAAAGTAACAAAATGTCGACAAAGGATAACTTATCTCTTTAAGAGATTTCTTCCAGAAACTCTTCAGAAGTGAGAAAATAAGTTAATTTAGTAAATTACAAATAATATATATATATATATATATATATATATATATATATATATATATATATACACACATACATACTTATCTACTATACTTTATATCTGATTTATTACTTATTTTAGCAATAAAGAATATATAAATAAATGACTGCTTACCGGTGATGTGGCAAAGTCATCAGCACTTGAGTTTTGTACGAAATGAACCATAACGGACGGTCCATGCATTACTACCATCTCGTTATTGTTTAGCATCAACCGTCTGTGCCACTCGCCTGTCGTTACACCGTGACGGTATTCTTCCTGAAAAACAAATAAATTATTTAGCTTGAAATTTTTAGTCTGTAGTACTTTTTTATAGTAGCGGCGCACGATGAAACTTACACGTTTGGATAGAGGACACTTAAAAAAAAATGTTTAACAAAAAAAATACAAACCGACTTCAAACAAAATAACTAAAAAGTAAAAAATAACTGATTGGTAGTTTTCATTGACTATACATACCTAATCAAATATTTTCGAAGTCGGTGTGCTTTACTTTGTATCGGCTGGCATATTGTTGATATGTGTTATTGTTTTCCGCTAGTAAATAAATAAAAAAATAAATAAAATAAAAATTGATACAAGCTTACTTCAAGTTTTTCTGCTAACTCCTCACTGTAGGGTATGTATCTGGGATCTATAGATGTGCCTTTGTAGAACCAACTACATCTGTAAAATGAAATAATATTTTTACCCGACTGCGCGACGCGAAGGAGGGCAATGTGTTTATCAGTTTATGTATGTGTGTTTGTTCCTATATGGCGTTCTGGACACCAAACGCGTGGGCCGATTTTGTAATTCATACGTGATACGTCAATATACAAAAATAGTTAAAAATCAAAATGGCGGATTTCAGGCACCAATTTGTGTCTTTAAAAAAATCTTCCAAATCAATCGAGTGAGATATAAAAATAAAAGCTTTTCAAAGGCGATCATAAAAATATATATAACATACATACGAGTATATGTTTAAAAGTAATTTAGGAAAATAAATTGCTAAATATAACTTCATATGTCTAATTGGCTAACATTAAATAGCTTTAAATAAAAAAATCTATACATATAATAAAATTGTAACTAAGCCGAATCTGTACATTAAATATTTTTTTGGAAAATCTTATTGCAATAGATATTATTATCGATACAGAGGCCGAATCTATAGTTTTTAGAATTTTTGTCTGTCTGTCTGTCTGTCTGTTACCACATCACAGAAAAACCACTGGAGTGATTTTGATGAAATTTGGTATGATGGAGGCTGGTTATCCGGGTCAACATATGGGATGGGAGGAACCTTTTTACTGCGGGAAAATGTCTCATTTCTGAGAAAAAACACAAAAACCGCAAGAGTATACTAATATGTAAAACCTAAGAATTTGGTTTTTGGTCATCTGAACGCGGGCGGAACCGCGGGCAATGCTAGTGTATTATAAAAATAAAAATTAATAAGATTATGCAGTCGGAGACATACATAATATGTGCATATATCTTGCGGTAAGGATGAAACGTGTACGGAACAAAGGGACAGACAGACAAAAATGTTAAAAATGGTGCTTATATAATTTCATATGCATTTAGTAAAAAGCTGTTATTTTGAAATTACACACAGGAACTTCAATTTTATTTACCTCATAACATTAGTAGGTTTTTCCGTCCAATAAACGGCGGTTCTCCGTCGAGCCATCACATTCACGTCGAAGCGACCGCCATCTGTTGCCACCAGAGTGTTCTCGTTGAGATCCGCTGAAAATAGTTTTTTTCTTTGTCTACAGCGTGTTTTAGAGTGCAAAACAACAGTTGTTTTGCGAGTTCTCAGTCTTTATTTAAATAGACTTACAGGCTCACTCACATACGCCCACGCCCACTTATGCTCACGCTCACATACGCCCACGCCCACATACGCCCACGCCCACGCATGACACATATTGACTACAAATCTTCCTGAATACATCTTCATGGTAATTTATTTATAGGTTGCTTTATTAGATAACTACTATACTCATTTTAATCAGTTGAGCACAACTTAATTTGAATATCCCGTACGGGTCCCAATGAATGGGAGGATGATATTTTAACGCCTGATTAAAAACAAATGCAAAAATATGCAGTGGTAACGCGGTAGCTTTGTAAACCGAGTGAAGCGGGTTCAAATACCGGTCTCGCACCTGTGACATTTTCATGTGCGAATCATTCCCAACACAATAACCACTTGTCTTACGGTGAAGGAAAACATCGTGAGGAAACCTGCATGTCTGAGAGAACCTAGCAAGCCTTCGAAAGACATGTGAAGTCTGCTTAGCAGCGTGGTGGACTATGGCCTGATCTCCCTCGTATTGAACGGAAGCCCGTGCCCATAAGATGGACATCACAAAGGGGCTGCATACAGAAATATTAAAAAGTAAATTGAAGTAAATAAAATATAAACTTACGGCTGTTGAAAGCATTTTCCAATGCCCTAGAATCGGCGACAGAAAAACCACGCCATATTGACTTATCCTCACTATCCACCTTATAGAACCAGTGATGTTTGACTGGAGCATATTCTGTTGTTGAACGATTCTGAAAAAATGTGGGTACTTTAACTTTTTCATACTTAGCTATAAAATATTAATACGAAAACCTATTTAGAGATGATGTAAATGAAAAGAATATAATTACAAATATTATATGTATATGACAATAGCATTCCCAAGGAGGGTTGACGTCAAGCAGGCGGCCGGTCGTAAAACTTTTGCCAAATCCTTTGAACAGTACAGAGGATGTACTGCGCCGACCCCAAGTGATTGGGAAATGGGCAAGGAGAAGAAAAAGATATGTGTATGCAAAACTGTGGTTATTTGTTTGTCTGGAAAGTGACATTCAATTTTTTGTCCGTTAAATGACTCCTGTAGGATATTCATTCCTACATATAAAAAATGAAATCGTCACGCTGAGTTTGTTTGTTTAGGTTAATCTCAGAAACTACAATACAGATTTTCATACGGTTTTTATATATAAAAAGAGAGATTATCATAAGGTTACAAAGTTATAATTTATGAATATTTTCGTAAATGATGATGTTTGTGAATTACAATGGAACAACTCGGGGACATATTCAAGCGAAGTGAGGTTAAGCCACTAGTCTATTATAACCTATAACTTGGAATGGTGGAATAAACCCACATATGTATATAGATAGATAGATAGATAGATAAAACATAGAATTTAGTGATCAAGTAACCCCTAAAGGAATCACATAGTGTAAAGACTTTTATTACTTACAATAAAAATATAAATGACAAAAAATTAAGTATCTTTAAATACCTCATGTACAACCACAATCCTATCATCGGCATCCTCTTGAAGTGATTTGTCACAGAAGTTGACTGTCATAGATTTTTTCATTCCCTCTTTTTTTGTTTCCATATTTGCTCCCTCTTTACTCTCAGAATTACTATTCATAGCTTTCCTAACTTTAAATTCAAAATTAACAAAATTCACATCAGTTTTGGTCAGACACCAGCAATATTTACAATTTATTATGACATTTTCGAAATTTGTTTCGTCTATATCTTTTAAACCGCCATTTTCGTTTTTGTCATCGTCCGTTTTGTATTTTAAATTTGTTTTTAATTCATTTGTTTTTATTTCTGTTATTTCGTTTTCGTAAATCTTAATATTATCAACTGTAAAATAATTAACCGTTCGAACTATATTTTCGTTTGGGGTAAAATTTTCAGTCGAAGTTAAATCGTGTATTAAGGACATATTTTGTGGAGCATTTGCTTTTGGTTCATTTTTATTTAGGTTATTGAAGTTAGGGTCTTCGAAAAAGTTTTTGACATTATTTTGTATTGAATCGAACCTATTTTGTGACGGTTTATGTCTATAATGGTTTTGTGATTGGCTTAATTCAAAAAAAGACTTTGAGTGTTCTGGTTTCGGTGGCGAAGCGAAGTAGCTAGAGAGTCGGCTGAAATCACTGTAAGCATCAGATTCTTGTGTATTATCCACATTCGATGAGAAGAAGTTCATTGGATCTGGCAATGAATCTAATTTTATTTCTTCGCTTTTTATAACTTCTTTTACAGTTTCTTGAATTATTTCTTGTTTTGCATCGTTAGCTTTTTCATTTTCAGATTCTACAAAACCAGTAAAAGTGTGCATGTTTTTCTTTTGCGTAGGATTATTATCTTCTTCAATTAGTTCTTTTATCATGGATTCAACATTATCATCACAAACGCTATCGTCTAGAGTTTGTGGAGCTATTATTATTGGCGCCAGATTTACATCAGCTAAAGCGGAGATATTTTGACTTTTTAGGGTTGGTAATATGTCTTGTGATGATATTCCACTAAGTCTTCTCTGATATTCTTCTTCAAAACCTGGGGGAAACCGCATTGGTGTGTTTGTGTGAGTATTGAAAGAACTCAACGTTGATGGAGAAGTTAATGAATTCCTGTAATGATTTTCCACAGCATAATTTCCTGTGTCAAAGTAAGAGGCAATTGTAATAGCTGGGCTAGTTGATGTTGGTAAATCAAAAGTTTTAATTTCTTTTTTAACTTCAAATGCATTATCGTTTGCGTTTTTGTATCTTTCAACTCTATTTGTAAATGTATCTACGGACTGTTCTGAATCGTCTGAAACCTTTTCACGTTCTCTATACTCTATTTTATCATCATCAGTTTCTGAAGGCTCTATGACCTCTTCGTAAATAGGAAAGTCTTTTTTAGCATCTTGCTCGATAGAATGAACATCTAAACCACTTTCGTCTGATTTCGAATCTTCTTCAGGAGGAGCGGTTGGTATGCTCATTTGTCGTGGCAATATTGGAGTGTCTTCATGAGAATTTTTAAATTCAGCTTTTAATTCATCACTCGCATTAGTGGGTATATTTTCGAAAAATAGTGATTTATCTTGGAAAAATCCAATACTGTTAGGATCCACTTGATACCTGTAATCATGATCAGCTAGAACTTTAGATGAATGAGCTCCTTCATTTGTTGACCATCCATAATTTAAAATAGGATTATTAACGCTCATATCATCAATAAGGTCAACTGGCGGTGGTATTGTCAAGTTTTGTATCTCGTCTTCTGTATGAGATATTTCTGTGTATTGAGTGGAGAAATCAACTTTATTAATTGTGGGATCTTCAGTAAAATCTTCACTAACAGGATATTCAACAGGATTTGCTAATTGAATTGGCGCTGTAATATTTTCTATTAGTTGTGTAGTCAAATCTTCCACTTCTTTTTCTTCTGGCTTATTGACTTCTCTACAAGTTTCACAAATATTCAGTTCTGAAACAGGATTTTCAATTAAATCATCTTTAATTTCAGTTGTTTCTATACTTCCAAAAAGGCTTTGATCAAAACCAGTTGTATCATTATTTTGAAATAATGATACATTTTCCATTTTACTTTCAAGGTCTTTTATATCTTTCAACTCCGTTGAAACAGACAAAGGATTTGAAGATATAGAAGAGAGGTCGAATAAAGAAGAAGCATTAGAAGATTGTTTGAATAGTGAAAACGCAGGGGCTTTCTCACTAGAGTCATTTCTTATCTTATTTTCCTTATATTCAGGAACGAATAAAGGATTGAATAAATATGAATCTTTACTTTCACAATTTTTTACAAAAGTAAGAGGTGGTAAAATACTTTCAGAAATTTTCACTGTTGATAATTTTTCTAATATTTCTGATTGCCCATCGGTTACTTGACTTTTGCCTAATACAGGATCGAATACTTCAAAAGATTTTATTGGTGCACATGTATTAGTAGCTTCATTTATTTCTCTGAATACTTTTTTATTAATATTTTCCTCAAGCTTTTTAGCTTCAAAAGGTAAAACAATAGGAGTCTCTTTATCAAAAAAACCTTTCGAAGATGGATCTGTTATTTTCGGCAAATCATTGAAAAAGTCTTCAGGTGAGACATTAGTAATCAGTCCCGTTTCTCTTTTAATATTTATTGGTAATACTGATTGTTTATTGTCGAGAGTAGTTTCATTTGATTTTTTATCGTGTTTGGATGTTTCTGAACTTGAATAGTCTAAAATATTATTTTGAGTTGCTTTTATAGAATCAAATGCTATCGATACATTTTGATTCGAAATGTCAAAGAAATTTTTCAGATTTGAGGTTTGATCAGTAACTGTCAAGGATTTATTTTCTTCGGTGTTTAGTGTTATACATTTTTCCTTTATGTCAGGTTTGTCATCAGGAACTGCATAGCTACTTTGACTATTTATCACTTCATTTTCATTATGAATAATATGTTCAAGTTCTTTTTCTGTTTGTTGAACTACAGAAATTGTATTTTCGTTTTCTGATGATTTTGAAGGACTGACTGCGACGTTTTGATTAAAATAATTAGATATATTTTCCGTTTGGTTGGATATTTCAGCGATGTTCTTATTAGAGCTTTCTAATGTAACATTTTGAGCGATGGTATTTTGATAGTAAGATGTTGAAAATTGTTGCTGATTGTAATTATTATACCATACTGGATCGTAGTTAGTTTGGAAATTTACATCTTGACTTCTATTTCCCATGTAATCTTGATTATAACTATAATACTGTGGATTGTAAGCCTGTTGACTATAATCTGTTAGGTAATTAGATGTACTAGCGTAAGTTTGTTCTTGATCCACGTTAGGCACAAACACTTCTAAAGCAGCGTTATTTTGAGCATATTCGGTGTAATTTTCAGTGGACATATTCTGAGCGTATAGTTTGCTTTCCTGTTTGATAGAATCATCAACTTTCGTATTATTGTAAGCTGGATCAAAGAAGGTAGTCACCTTATTTTGAATCTTATTAATATCTATAGCACTAAGTTTAGATTTCAAGGATCCTATAATTCCGAAACCTTTCCTTTCCGAAAGCTCTTGTTGAGGCTGCTCATACGACTCTGTTGTTGGTCTGCTAAGATCAAACGCTGTGTTAAAGTCTGGTAATTGTTGCATACTATGTACTGGGGGTACCATGTTTACAGGTTTACTGATATCGAATGGCGTAGCTTGTACATCACTTACATTATAATCAGAATATAAAGTATTAGATGCTGCTTGAGCAGTATCAGGATTAAATAGAGAGCCCTGGTAACTTGGTTCAACGGGATGTATAGTTGGTTTAATATTATTACTGATATTTCCCACACCCTCAATAGGGCCTGAATAGTACTGGGGCCTCTTTTTCGACATTCTGTAGTTTACATTCCCTGTGAGTTTAGGTGGCTCAACTAGGGGTTTGGAAGCTTCAGGTGGTGTGACATATTGTGACACTTGACTGTGAGGTGAAGTTATATTTTCGGGCTTATTAATATTTGTATCAGGTTGAGCAAACACTGCTGGATTGAAGAAAGTAGGTGGCACTGTACTGATATTATCGTGTTCACCTTGAGGTTCATAATAGTCTTGAGTTATATTAACTTCTTTGTTTACAATATTTGAAGTTCCCTTAGACATATTAGGCTTATCTTCAGGATAAGTTGAATCCGGATATATAGGCCTTTCAGCAGTTTTTATTGCTTCTGAGGAAAATAATGAATCTGTTGAAAAGATAGAACCTTTAAGAGCACCAGCATCTGGAACACTGGCTTTTGCTTCGAATAATGATGTGTTTGAAGGGACATTTATTTGTGGATTCTGCAATTTATCTAAAGGTACCAAAGATGGAATAGGAATTAGATTTGGCATAAAAATGTCTTGTGGAACTGTCTCTGTATTTCTCACATTTTGAACATTAGATATAATGTTCATGGAGTCTATGTGCTGACTGCTTTGGTCAAATCCATACCCTGGAGTATCAGCTGTATCAGGTATTTGTGGCACGAATATATTTCCATGAGGTGTCAAACTCGGTAAAGCTTGTGACCTAATTATCGGTTGAGTTCCGGAAATCCGTCTTGCTACCGACGGGGGCAAGACTGACTTGCCTGTAGATGATTGACTGTCTCTCCGTATATTAGAGAACATTGGAGGCGGTGGAATGATAGGCGTAGTTTGAGTATTGGGAGCTATTACTGATTGATTTGTTGTATCTACTGATATAGTTTGTTCTGGTTTTGGTAAAATAACTTCGCTTGTTTGTGTTGGTACGAGAAATTCTGGTTGATTTTCCGATTTTTGGCTGTGGTTAAATTGAATGGTATTGAACGAATGAGAACTTTTCAACTCATCATTTTTTGGAACACTTGTATTTTGAATTTCCAATTCTGATTGAGTTATTGAAGATTGTGGTACAAGTCCTAAATGAGCATTGTCTAATTTATTTTCAGCTTGTGGGACATTGGTTATATTTTCTGGTACAAAGTAATTTGGCTGTGAGTGGCTGTGGTTGCCACTCGGCGGTGGATTAATACTTTGTACATGATGATGATCACCAGAGCTCAAACCTGGTATTTGCGCGTATACTTTCTTTTTTGTTGTGATGCGGTAGCTGGAAGCAGTACCTGGAACGAAACAAATAATAATATTAAGTTGAGATTTAAATGAGATAAAATTTTAATTATAAATTCGTAGAATAATTTATTTTATAATACAGATTTTAAAGAGAATATTCTATAATTCAATTTAACAAAATTAAAATATGGAACAGGCAAGAAATTTCACTGTCTCTCATCTACCACGCATGCAAAATAATGTGAAAATCACATATATACCTAAATAAATACTATAATACAGGCAAAGTCGGCCAGTTTCAATAGCTTTAGTATTCGAATATCCATAATTATTACTACCAGTTACGTTTCAACTCGTTTTCTAAAGTGCACCTGACCACCTATCATTAAGTTTCGTCAGCGTACTACCGGCATGTGACAAGGAAACTTCTACTTTGACGTGCAGTTGAGGATATAAAGTCCAAAATGCTATATAATTGGTAAACCATTGGCTATTGTTCGAGATTTTTTTAAAGAAAACTTAAGAAAGCAGCTTATAGTACTTCTTAATTAACAGTTACAGTTTTAATTATTCTATTTGGGTACTTTAACTGTGCTTTTAAAAACATTATATTAATATATTATATTTAGTTAACAGTACATATGAGAGTCATATGATGGAGTAATATGATGGAGTGATCCCATATGATGGAGTGATCCCATATGATGGAGTAAGCAGAACACCTATCTATATATCGTAGATAGTTCGTTCGAATCCGAATTGGGCTAAATATTTGGGATTGAACAGGATTTAAGACTTTTGAACTGAACCTAAACGAATCTTAAAGGAAAGTAATTTAATAAAGGCAGCTTGGTATGTAGATGTTTCTTTACACTTTGATCAAGAAATAATCATTTTTGGAACTGCTGATTTAATTATAGAAATTCTTTTTCCAGTACAAAATTAGATTAATATTAGAGGAACTGAGGTATCTGAGGTTTGTGTCGTATATTACCAATATAGAGGGGCTAGCCATGGCTAGAAAAGTAGCCAGCCGTCTAAGCTATATAATGAAATCTTAAAATGTAACCTGACAAAGGTCTCGATGACTATGACCATAATAATACCTACCACCAACTTTTTGCAGTAACTATTTGGACTACTATTATAAATTCAATCATATGTGTGATGAGCACGAATGTTTGTACTCCAGTGATAGATGTTAATATTTATAATATGTATGTATTTAAAGTTATATATGTGTAGTGTATCAACTATCCGGTATCCATAACACAAGCCTCGTAGCTTGCCATGGAACTGGATGGTGATGTGTGTTGGGAACATACATATGTATATAGTATATACATATTGGGAACTTTTATAAATGCACAAGTGTGTATGTCTGTATGCTCGTTATTTCTTCATATTAAAACGGCTGGACGGATTTGGATGACTTTTAGTACAAGATAGATTAGCCAAGAGTAGTATATAAGCTACTGTTAAGTACCTAGCGAAAAACGTGAAGATAAGTCTGAGGTAAGCGAGGGTAAGGTAAATATTCAATACAGAAAATCAAGCGAAAAATATATATGACCACGACTAATAGCATGGCTTCGCTCGCGGTCGTCTAGAACGTGATTTTCCTCGTAATAAGACAAAATTAATATACGATGGGTTCGTCCTTTGCTTGCCTCGATTACGATGGTATCGTTTTGGATGACTTTGGTATTAAAGCAGTACGCAGTTCGCAGAAAGATTAACATCTATATGGATACATAAAAAAAAGTACAGTACGAGCAAATTCGTATATTATATATGTATTTGTAGGAAAATTTGATTTTGGGTATATTTGGGGGTAATCGAAAATTGTATATATTTTTTTCACTAGTGCTTTGAGTAAGTATGTACCATTAAAGTATAATGTTGCTGTATAAGTGGTCGATACGTAAATTCTATTCATATGTATCCTCCGCTTATAATTTTACTTTAAAAAAAGATGAGTTAATATTAGTCCCGCTGAGTTACTTTCGCCAGTTCTCAGGTCTGAGGCTTCTTCTTTCCGAACTGTTAGTAGACTCATGACGTTCAGTAAAAAATTGTAATAATTTAATTCTGAATAAAATATTTTGAATTTGAATTTATACCGTATATGTTTTCCTCAAATTTTTAATAATTATTATGGTAAAGGCTTGATCTCAACGTGTTCCTATATAAAACTAGACTCATATTTAGTAGTTAAGTTAACAAAATCAAAATGCAGGCAGGCGACATCGCAGGCGAAGGCTAGTATCATGCGAGGAACTCTACATGAAGGTTTTTACCAAGCAACTTCATTATATGAGGTTATTATAATTGTTTTTATTGCCTTTTTTACACTGTCGGGGTCAAAAGAGGTCAATAACTGCGTAATATTTTCCCTTATGACTCATATATGTATATACATACAGTGTAGCAGTCGACCAATAACGTGTTGACATATTTCATTGGTCTCCTATTTACTTTTGCCGTGATTCCGGTTTCGTGATAGATACATCGGTGAATCGTAACCTATGTGTTAATCCAGAATATAAACTATCTCCATTCAAAATTTTACTCAAATCAGTTCAGCCGTTACAGCGTAAAGAAGAGACAAACACACACACTAAATTTGAGTGTTTATAATGTGTGATTTAGCTGTAGATTTTCATCGTCTATTGGAGAGTCACGTTTAATTTCGTGACGTTTTGTGTTAACGACTATACTAGTATCGGAATACTATTAACAAATGAAATCAAATCTACATATACATATAACATTCTGAGTAGAATCGGTACATTAAATATTTTTTGGAAAATCTTATTGAAATAGCCATTATTATCGACACAGAGGCCGAATCTATAGTTTTTAGATTTTTTGTCTGTCTGTCTTTGAACGCATGACGAGAAAACCACTGGAAGAATTTTGATGAAATTTGGTATGATGATAGCTGGTTATCCGGGTCAACATATAGGATACTTTTTACTGCGGGAAAATATCTCACCTGTGACAAATCTATACTAAACGTTAAAACCTAACTTGGGACGAACTCGAGCGGAGCAAGATGAGTAAATAAATAAAAATAAAAAATAAAATGAGTCGCTAGTTACATTACTTATTTCAAAAAAGCCGTGTTTTCGATGAAAATGATTTATAACGTTAATTTTCGGACACCTGTAGGAACAAGTACCCATACACGTGGATGGATTCCCACAAGTATATAGTTTTTAAAATAAAATTAAAAAAAACAGCAAGCTTTTTCTAAAGAATGCTTTATGTCTTGGAGCCCGTTATTTTATCTCACATTAACATTTAATTTTAACAAACTGTAAATTTTGTTTGCTTTACCGTAATCAGATCGGAAAGTATCATCAATGCGAAAGTTTGTATGTGTGTATGTCCGTTACTCCTTCACGCACCACACCATTACAATGGCTGGACGGATTTGGATGAAATTTGGTATGATGATGTTCTCCTAGCCGATTCCGGCTACGGCGGCCAATCTCATTGAGATTAGCCAACTGCGCAGGAGATATTATAGTGCTCAAGTGTACGCGCAGACACAAGTGCACTCTCTATTCCTATCACTCTCATACTCCGGTGGGACGACCACTCGACACGACCGGTGAGAGTTAAGGCGCAGGACCGACGGCTTTACGTGCTCTCCGAGGCACGGGGGTGAAACACCGCCAACTTCCCAACTCCGGGCTGTTACTGAGACTTACTATACAGAAAGACTCAATAACTAAACTTGGCCCGACCCGGGACTCGAACCCAGGACCTCCGGGTGTGCAGCCGTACATGCTAGCCACTACACCACCGAGGCAGTTAATTTATAATAAAAATAAAATTTGGTATACAGATAGAGTGTGACTTGAAGTAACATATAGGCTAATGTTATTAGCTAAACTTGCCATTAGATGGCGTTGCCAGTATACAATAATATAAATACTAAGCATCTAAGGACGCACACGAGCGAGGCTAGGGTAAGTTTCTAATCTACATCTACACTGATATTATAAAGAGGAAAGATTTATATTTTTGTATTTTTGTATGTTTGTAACAAATAAACTTAAAAACTACTGGACTGTCCCTCGGAAGGACATTTTTTTATTCCGGAAATCATCCCTCAAGGGGGTGAAAATAGGGATGAAAGTTTGTATGCAGAATCAACTTAAGGACGAACCCGAGCGAAGCGAGGGTTAGTCGCTAGTCTTCTATATAATAGTGAAAAATCCCTTTGAAATCAGTAAAAGCGTTTCGAAGATAACCGGATAAACAGACAGATGGGCACGAAAATTGTAACGGTTATTGGGAATGCTGTTACTATATTCCAATGGCCAAAATACACTCCATATTATTTGGGTTACTCTTACTATATGCCATTGGCCATATAAAGTATCTGTTTGGAAATAACACACAGGTACATCAATTTAGTTTATTTAAGAAATCTTTGCATAAGAACCGAATAAGCAAAGTTGATTACGAGAATTACTTCACCGGTTAAGGTTAAAACAATTACATTGTAGAGTTCAAAGAGCATAGAGCCGTGAGAAAATGAGAGGTTAGGTCATCTACCGAATTTGGTGGCAAATGAAGCTTATATCAGCTTCCATCTAGCCTAAGACATTGTCTGGCTTTTTTAAATTTGCTTCTCCCGTGACCCCGGACCATGGTTGTTGTAAAGTATTCGAAACGTCGAGAATCAAAAACCAAAATAAATCTGCCAAATAATCTAACAAGATAGTTTTATTTCAAATGTCAAATATTCGCGTAAATTTGAGATAGTACGTATATTTTGCTTGTCTGTCATCAAAAATGAGATATTTTACCGCGGTAAAAAGTATCCTATATGTTGACCCGGATAACCAGCTATCACCATATCAAATTTCATCAAAATCCCTCCAGTGGTTTTTCTGTGATGCGGTAACAGACAGACAGGCAGACAAAAATCCTAAAAACTATAGAATCGGCCTCTGTATCGATAATAAAGTTTATTTAAATAAGATTTTCCAAAAAATATTTAATGTACAGATTCGGCTAAGTTACAATTTTATTATATGTATAGATAGATCATGAACGAATTAACCACTGGACCAGACATATAAGCGGACGTACCTTTAACGGTCATGTTAGTAACCAGGGAATTTTAGCCTAGGTCGTTTGTTTCTTGTGTCAGTCTCAAGCACTTACTTGTCAACAAAACATCTCCCAAAAATGACTAAAGGTTCTGTTAAATGGTGTAAAAACTATAACGGCGGAAGCAGCACTATTTGTTTTCACTTGTAAATACATTATTTTATTACATTGATTGTTATTTATCACAAAATTTAATTAAATGTAAAATAAAATGTCATATTATCCTACTATGTTAAATATAGTCGATATTTCTATGTATTGTTGACATCTGACAACCATCATAAACGGGCTGGGTTATACCACTCAGAACAAATGACAAAACTGTCGAGTGAGTCCATTTGATATCGACTAGTGCTTGACAATGTCGAAAAATATATCGATATTTGACGGAATAACTGAACGAATTGTGTTATTTGTACAGTACAATAACATAAAATACTTTTATCACAGTATCCTACAATCTGATGACAATAAATTTATAAAAATATTTTCTAAATCAAATAAAAATATAAGTGCAAAAATTATAATTAGTATGTGTACTTAATTTTTTATTTTATTTTATACCACATTTATATACTTTGGAATATTATTCCATTGTAATAATAATAAAGATCATTTTATTTCAACACATAAATTACACAAAATCAAACAATAATGTTTTAGCACTAAACTTCTGAGTTGGCGATTTGTAATAAAACACTTTACCACTTGCACTAATTATTTTACTTTCACGATCCAACACTCACTTTTTCACAATTTGCAATCACTTTTTCTTTTTCCTAATTTCACAAATGTTTATTAATAACTGAGCAATATTAGGACAGTGTCACATTTTTATAACTACCCGAGACAATCAATTGCCAATTAAAATAGTTCAATAACAGAATCAACAAAATCACTTTATTTAATTAAATTAGCTTAATATTTTTTTAATCTTTACAAAATAATATTTATTATATATTAATGGAATATATACCCGATATTCATTTGTTCATTAACATTATTATAGGCCAACAGAATGTTGCCATCAATGCCATCGTATTTATATAAATCAAATTAAAAAATAATTATTATTTGACACATTATTATTGCCACTTTAATGCATTTATTTTAATTTATTATAATAAATACAGATATTTCAAATTAAAAGATGTAAAATATGATGACTATGCTAACCAATGTCTAAAATGTCATTCATTGGTTCATCGATATATGTATTTTATCGATTACGTTCAAACACTAGAAATATTGTATTGTGTATCAGTGTTTATAATAATGTAATAAAATCTTTGTGTGCGTTATGCGTCACTTGGTTGAACTAGTTTTCATACATTTGTATTTTATGTCAGGTCCAGTCTCTAATTCGTCCATGAGATAGATATATGCAAACTAACGTATGGTAAATATTGTAAAATTCATCGTGTATCCGAATAAAAAAAATCATATGATTGAAATTGATTGAAATCGTGATTTTAACAATTATATCAATAATAAAAATATTACTTATATGTTAAAGTAAATTTGACTTATACAAATAAAAATATTTTATTAGTTCAGTATAAAAATATCTAAAATTAAAAATCAAATGCGTCACTCAGAACGGCGAAGATAGATAAAAAAAGATTAAAAACCGATCAGATTTTACACAATATGTTCCTAAATTAAAAAATGTTTCTAAATTAAAACAAACATCATATAGAAACTCGATCCTTAACATTATTTTATCCATAATTACAAATTAAAAAAAAGCTTACCAGAAGGAGGCTCTCTCAACGGCGGCGGAGCAACATCTTTCGGTACTTCTTGTACATTCGGCATAAACTGCCCACTATCTACCTTCTGTATGGTATTTTGTATTGGTTCTTGGTATATTTTATTATCTGTGTCTGGTGTCTGCTCTCTACTTTTTAGACTTAGCATGTTAGAAAATGAACTAAAAACCACGCTCGCTACTTGTGGTATAACCGTGGGCAGTTGTGAAAAATTCTGCGCAATATCCGCCGACAAACTGTTTTGGACATCATCTAAATTTTGACTTTTATCTGGTTCGTTTAGATTTATTTCCTCAAGATTCTCCTCTGCTTGCAAATTAGCATTTTGATCTTCCTTTAGGTTACTATTTATTGGCGCGCTAACATATCTAGTGCCTTGTAACCTCGCAAAGTATTCATTTACATCGAAATCGTCGTCCGATTTTGATGTGGCTTTCGATTGAGTTGTAGATGGGATATCATGAGTTTTGTTAAGTCGATCATATGTTTGAGTGTTTATGGGTAAGGGATTGATATTTATTGGTGCATTGTATTGTATTGAGTTGTTTTTGGCATCGCCATATGGAATATTTGTGTTTTCTTGTTCGGAGTGCCGAAGGGTTTGCATCTGGGTCTCCTTTTGTTGATCTGCAACAAAAGAATAAAGTTAGTATTTTTTAAAATTAACATCTAAAATAATTGATATACATCGAAAATGTAATACATATAGCCCAGTCGGGTTGTCGAAAATATAAACCTAACCTAACCACTACTTTATTCCTGTACATTTAAACCCTACAGTCAATATTAAACGAGATAATTCAATAATTACACTGCCTCCGTTTTTCGCCCTTATCGAAAATATCGATAGCACGACAAAATAAGCACCGAATAAAATGTAGCAATTGAATAGTGAACAAGTTTAGTCCTTATAATTATCTCGAAAAATTGAAAATGGCCGAGATATTGAGAGAAAACGATTTAAACCCTTTAAAATCAAGATGGCGGCTAACGTAACGCTCGAATTCGGTTGCGATTTTAAATTTAAACTCCCAGGGAATCTCCCTAATGGGTGTATTCAGCCCTTCTTAACGTCCCACTGCTGAGCACGGGCCTCCCTTCAATATGAGGGGGATCAGGCCATAGTCCACCACGCTGGCCAAGTGCGGGTTTGCAGACTTCACATGTCTTTCGAAAACTTGCTAGGTTTCGTCACGATGTTTTCCTTCACCGTAAGGCAAGTGGTAATCATGTTGGAAAATGATTCGCACATGAAAATATCAGAGGTGCGAGACCCGGGATTTGAACCCGCTTCACTCGGTTACCCTTGCGAGCGCGTCACCACTAGGCTACCACTGCCCTAATGGGTGGTGAAATAAAATTATGGCCTAGAATTTTTTCGGGGTTAAATACTAATCCAACTGGGCTAATAGTAGATTATTTGAATACAACAGTGTCATGGCCCAGAAAACGCAAAACATTTTTTATAACAAATACCTCTCATTAAGATAAGTCATAAATAAAATTTAAAAATAACAAAACCTTATGAAGATTTAATATAAATGTTAAGTACTTTAATACCATGTATGGAACGTTGGAATCTTGGACATCTGTAGTAAAACATGTTATTGTATACCTACAAATTACACAAAAGCCACAGATTATATTAAGACTGAAAATTTCGATAGATTCAAAAAATAATCGACCGTTCTAGTGCAATAATATTTGATCCACCATCACTGGTGATGGTGATGGTTCGATATTCGCTCAGGGGAGTGTTTATCAAATATTTAATATACCAAATATATATATATATATATATATATATATATATATATATATATATATATATATATATATATATATATATATATATATGTAAATATCTTATATATAAAATTTCCATGTCACAGTGTTTGTTACCGTACTCCTCCGAAACGGCTTTACCGATTTTTACCAAATTTTATATGCGTATTCAGTAGGTCTGAGAATCGACTACTATCTATTTTTCATACCTCTAAGTGATAAGGATAAGGGTGGTCCTCCCAGACCCCACCCCAGGGACGAACCCGAGCGGAGCGAGGGTGAGTCGCTAGTATATATATATATATATATATATATATATATATATATATATATATATACTATAACAAAAGAGAGAAATTGCTGAATGGAAACGACAAATAATAAAACACAAACACAAATTAAAAACAAACGAACAAAAGAAACTGAACTGTGAACTGTTTAGGAATCAATCACTCAATTAGAACTATTATAAAATAGGCTCGATTTAGACATTACAAGGTTAGAACTTTAAGTTCTATAAGGCCATTTGATACGTCATACGAATATATGCTACTCGGTACCTAACGGCCTATATACTTGTATCATAGTCTACCTAAAATTCACTAAATTTTAATCCAAATCTATCCAGCCGTTACTGCGTAAAGGAGTAACAAACATACAGACATACAAACTTTCGCACTTCTTATAGTTGTTCAATCACTCGCAAGTCCATACTGAATACTAATATTATAAATGAGAAAGTGTGTGGAGGATGGATCGATGTTTGTTACTTAATCACGCCAGAACAGATACTGCACGTTTCTGGATGAAATTTGACATAGACATATATTATAGTCTGGAATAACACATAGTTTACTTTTTATCCCGGAAAAATGTAAGCTCCCGTGGGATAGATTTCTTTTAATCTAGGGACGAATCCGTAGCGAAGCGAGGGTGAGTTGCTAGTATTCTATAACTAACTATTGGTATGCCAAGCGACCACCCATCCAACTAACTGTACGCAACTGGTGACTAGCGCTTTACCATATTTAAATAGCGAAACGTCCAGACAAAGTTAGGTGTAACAAGTAGTATATATATATAATTAACGATGTGGTACAGAGAAAACTCATTTATCACCGATCAACCGGCTTTCTCGTTAATGCTACAAATTGTACATTGAGCCTGTTAGTGTTTTTCACGACAAGTACTATCGTGCACTTATATGCTATCGTTATTCGTTACTAACGTTATACATATATACGTTTGGCTCAGTTCATAGTGATCCTGCTTGCTGTGCCAGCGGTCGCGGGTTTTAATCCCGCTGGGGGCATTCATTTGTGTGATGAGCACGAATGTTTGTACTCCAGTCATGGGTGTTTATATTTATAGATATGTATGTATTTAAAGTTATATATGTGTAGTGTATCAACTATCTGGTATCCATAACACAAGACTCCTTATTCACTTTAATCAATCATTAAAGTACAATGTATATCACTTTACTTCAACACATTACTAGGTTTACACCATTACCCTATTCTAGACTTAACTAGACGTTAAGAATGTTATATTCACACCTTCACTGGGAGATTCTTGTAATTCTCAATAGAAAAGTTTATATCCATAGTATATATAATATTATGTATGTGAAAGTATGTTTGTTTGTTTGTTCTTCTTTCACGTCGAAACAAAGTGCGTGATTTTGTGTGAAGATAGTTGGAGGGCTGGAAAGTGACATAGGCTATATTGTACCGCGGCAGATTATCTCATTCCCACGGGAAAACAGGTTATAACACAACCCACAACATTAAAAACTAAAAACACAAACCCACAACATTAAATCCCTGGGCACCTAGGTACGAATCCAAGCGAGGCAAGGGTGAGACGCTAGTAAGAAATAAACTGTTCTAATATGTAAAAATCACTCATATTATAATATTTCCTAGCAAGGATGGTGTATTTAATTGGAGCGTATTTTATTTTTTCTCAACTGCCTCGGTGGTTAAGTTCCTAGCATATGCTGCTGATCCGGAAGTACCGGGTTCGAGTCCCTGGTCAGGCTAAGTTAAGTTATTGAGTTTCTTTTAAAGAAATTATCAGTGTTGAGAATAATTAATTATCGGAAAAAGAATAAATTATCAAATTGGGAAGTTGGCGGTGTTTCACCCCCGTGCCTTAAAGATCACGTAAATTTTTTCTGCGCCTGATCTCTTACGAGTCGTGTCTCGTGTCGTCCCACCGGAGTATGAGAGTGACAGGAATAGAGAGTGCACTTGTGTCTGCACTATAATATCTCCTGCAGTCGGCTAATCTCAGTAAGATTATCCAACTTAGCCGAAATTGGTCCAGGCATTATTACATATGTACATATTTTGTGTGTGTATGTTTCGTCATATTTTTATATTAGTATATTAAATTTCATCCAAATCTGTCCAGCCGTTTCAGCGTAGTGATGGACTAACATATCTACAAACTATCGACCGCTGGCACTGCAAGTAGGGTCACTACAAACTGAGCCAAACATGTCGTCATAGAATAAAACAAGTTATATATTATAGTAAAGATAGTATTTACTACGACTTAGTAATAAAATAGAAAGGACAGGAAATAATAAATGCCGCTAAAGATAATACTGTGTTACGGTTAAACCAATATTGAATCACACGTATGTTGCAGTTAGATATGGAAACGCAGTTTATTGTACTACGTACTATATAAAAAAAAATAACTACTTAACTGTTTCCAAAATCTTTTTAATGCTAATCTATACATATAATAAAATTGTAACTAAGTCGAATCTGTACATCAGATATTTTTTGGGAAATCTAATTGAAATATTATACATTATCATCGATACAAAGTCCGAATCTATAGTTTTTAGAATTTTTGTCTGTCTGTCTGTCTGTCTGTTACCGCATCACGAGAAAACCACTGGACAGATTTGGTTGAAATTTGGTATGATGATAGCTGCTTATCCGGGTCAACATATAGGATACTTTTTACCGCGGGAAAATATCTCAATTCTGAGTAAAATACAAAAACTGCAATGTAAGAGTATACTAATATGTAAAACCTAAGAATTTGATTTTTTGGTCATTTGACATCAAAATCGGTTGACAAATGGAGGAGAAAAAGATACTGAACTGTTTTATATATATATATATAGTATATGTATATCCCATGTGACGATGTTGGTCCGGGATGAATTCTTAAACTACTTATCCGATCTTAACGAATTTTTTTTCAAAATGTGTGATATGTTCCAACTTAAAAGAGAGGATAGTTTTTATCCTGATTATTTCTTTTTTTTATTGCAAAATTACCGATTTTCATATGTGTGCCACAGCAAGCCGTGGCCGGGTCTGTCTAGGAATGCACGGTGATATTTGTGTTTAGTAATCAAGTAATATGAAAAAAAAACACTTCGCAACGTATTTTTAAGATTGCCGAATTTTTTAATCACCTGTAACAAAGATAACCAAACTTATTTACTAGAATACACGCCTTAAGCACTCATTAGTGGTTTTGTCATATTACAGGACCTACCTATATACTAACATAACTTTAAAGTGACTGTACAGGTAATGCGAACGGAAATTGTGGCAAGAATAAAAAAAAAATTTTTTTTTTGTACTCAGCCCTTTTTACCGTCCCACTGCTGGGGGTGGGCCTCCCTTTAATACGAGAGAGATCAAGCCATAGTCCATCACGCTGACCAACTGCGGGCGGACTGAGTATGTTAGGTTCTTTTAGATATGCAAATTTCCTTACGATGTTTTCCTTAACCGTAAGACAAGTTGTAATCATGTTCGAAATGATTCGCACATGAAAATATCAAAGGTGGACCGACTCGGGATTTGAACCTGCTTCACTCGGTTTCCCAAGCGAGCTACCACTGGGCTACAACTGCCTTTCTTAATTTTTAGTAAATGTACACCGATTTAGAAAATTACATTAAAAGTTATTATCCACTCTTGATATTAGATTTTTATCTTGAAATCTACACTAATTTTATAAAGAGGTAAAGTGTGTAAGTTTGTATGAAGCAGGTAATCTCTGAAACAACTAAATATAGTCGTATAATGTAATGAGACATCTAAAGTTTCAGCCTCTCCCGTGACCATGTGAGCTGTAAATCATTCGAAAAGTCGGTAACGAAAAATCAAAATAAATACATGAAAAAATCCGAAAGGATAGTTTTATTTGAAATGAAAACAAAAACAAACCTATACCACGGGAGCTGTATATTTTTGCGGGATAAAAAGTAGCCTATGTGTTACTCCAGACCATAATCTATCTCTGTGCCAAATTTCATCAAGATCTGTTCAGTCGTTCTGGCGTGAAAGAGTAACAAACATCCATACATCCATACTCACAAACTTTTACATTTATAATTAATATTAGACTAGCATTGCCCGCGGCTCAGCCCGTTTTCAGATGATCAAAAACCAAATTCATAGGTTACATATTAGTATAGGTACTTTTACATTGCAGTTTTTGTATTTTCTCTCAGAAATGAGACATTTTTCCGTGGTAAAAAGTAATCTATAAGTTGGCCCGGATAACCAGCTATCGCTATATCAAATTTCATTAAAATCCCTCCAGTGGTTTTTCTGTGATGCGGTATCAGACAGACAGACAAAAATTCTAAACACTATAGATTCGGCCTCAGTATCGATAAAAATGACTATTTCAATAAGGTTTTCCAAAAAATAT